CAAGCCCATTTTTTCTGGATTTCGTCCAATGTTAGAGGAGAAAGTTGGATGTCGAGTGAGCCCATAGTTCCACAAGGAATTTAGGCGCTGACGATTTTAACCTAGCCCGGAGTCCAGTATATCGTGGTTTGGGAGGGCATTCTTGGGATCTGTGGAAGGCCAGACTTAACTCGTCACCCCGTAGGAGTTGTGCATCGTGGTGTGTCCGAAATTTCAAGAGCCCACCCAAACCACGGTAGACTCGACACCGGACTATGTTTCACCGTCGATGTTTCTGAATCACGACGTTGGACACAAACAAGAATAAGTTCTCCATAGAACTAAAGCTAAAACCAAGCGGGTCACACATTTTGAACCTTCCCCCGACCACCAGCCAACCAAGGTAGGCAGAAGTTCGGGATCAGTCTGACCACACCTACCTTAGGCCACACCGCCTTAATTTTATGGATGACATCCACGCGCGCATTGATTTTTGCCTGATCTAAAAAAAAAAGATCACGTCCTCCGACGTTCCCGCCTGGCTCTACGCCTTTGTAGGCCATGGTAAATGGCCTTACTTATCGCGCTGACCATGTTCACCTAGCCCGGGTACCATCCTGGTTAGTTTACGCCCGCTTCCTCGGTCACTACCGGTAGAGACTACTGTGTAAGCGGGCGTCAACTAACCAGGATGGTACCCAGGCTACTGATTACCATTCCAGAACGATTTTTCAGTACACACAGGGCTCTATATAGCCAGCACAATTTTATTTCTGTCACCTCCGGTCCATGATCGGTCTTGGGGGAAAATACTCACATTCTACCAGTGGTAAATTCGGGATTTCCAAGTCTGTAAAGATACAATTTTCCACATTTTTAGGGCAAATCATTGGCTTGAGAGTGTTTGTTGGTTGTCCTTTGTATGGTTCTAAGATTTTGTCTATCAAGGTTGACGGATTGTTTGAAAAAAATTCCATCACATGCCACAAAGTTCCTCAAAATGACTGAAAACCTAGTGCTGGCTAGAGCCCTGAGTACACAACCTCCTCCCAATCTTGTGGGGTCGTGTGGCGTAACGGCAGAGTACTCGACTCGGAACCAAGAGGTGCCGGGTTCAAGCTTAAAAGTCTTGCCATGCCACCGATCTTGTGCCCTTGGGAGAGGCACTTTACACTTAACTCAAGTGAAAATGAGTATTGCCCTGCTCTGTCTTGTCCTCTGCGTCTGCGACGGCATAAAATACGTTGAAATATCTTGACTGTGCCGTCACCATGTCTGAGCTTGTCACGAAATGTTAGAATAAAAAAACACTACTCCCAACCATCCTTCAGTCGCAGGCTGCCGACTCACTCTTGTCTGATTCCCAACCTTGTGTCGACTTAATCACGAATTGATATGGAAAAAATCAGCAACGTTAAAGACGGGTCCATTCCGTTTTTAATCAAAACGATCCACACCTCTATGACATACCTGAGAGATCAAATCTGACTCAACATGACTTTTACTGCTCTTCTGTGGTTCTGGTTGCGTACCGGTTGGGTCAAGGTCGGGGGTGGTTGGTACATCATCATCATCGTCCGGCTGCGGAGCAGTCGACCACAAGTCTTCCCCACGACCGTCGATCCGCCGCCAGGTTGGCAATGTCCTCTGGCCGCAGGTCACCCTCGGTGTCCCCCAACAGGTTCCGGATGTAGCCCAGGTAGTCGAGTCGCTGGCGCCCTGGGCGCCTTTTGCCGTGCGTCGGTACATACAGGGCATATGTCCGGCATGGTTCCACCACAGGCATTCTAAGTACATGCCCCAGGAATCGAAGTTGACGCTGCCTTACCATGATGATGAAGGGTCGAGTGTTGGTCAACTTGTAGATCCAGGCGTTGCTCACATGGTCTAGGCGCTTGATGTTAATCATGACCCTATAGCATGATGTGGTGAACGCGTTTAGCTTATTCTCCATTTCCCCCATTATGACCCAGGATTCACAGCCATATAACAGTATTGTCACGCAGGTGGTGTTGAAAAGCTTGAGTTTAGTGGATATGTAGATTGATGGACTTCTCCAGATCTTCTCCAACTTCCAAAAAGCAGTCCATGTTTGTACACGTTCTGTTATTATTATCCTCGGTTGGGAAGGAATTAGAAGGATTCGCCTAATGAACTGGAGTGAGTTGAGATTAGGTTGGCTGGCGGTTGAGAATAGGTCAACAGTGATTGCGGTGTGGTTATTACAGGCCGAATCTGACCACCGACCACTGCTGACCTACTCCCAACCACCAGCCAAGCTCCCGTCCACACCCGAATGTTTTGAAACATTCTGCTGGGGCAGCCGAACAGTAGAAGAGCACCAGCCAACCAAAGCCGCCCTTGAAGGAAGAAGAAGGTCTCCCGTGCTCTTATGCCATGCGGTGCCCATCTCCATTTCGTAGCCCTTGGGCGACACACAATTGTGCAAGGCACTACAGCAGGGGGCTAGTCCGCTGGTAGTGTGTGTTTGACCTTCCCACACTCTTTCTCATATGTGCTGAGTGCTAAGCAGAGAAAGAAGTGTGTACCATTTTTAAAGTCTTTGGTATGACCCGGCCGGGGTTTGAACTCACGACCTCCCGGTTACAAAGCGAGCACTCTACCAATTGAGCTATTGCACCGGTCATACAGCCGCCCTTGCTCAAGTCCTAATCCTATCCGGTCGGAGGGAGTACGGCAGTGGTCGGGAGGACAAATTCGGCTGTGTGTGTGGCATGCAGAGGCTTAACCAAAGAGACTTGGGCAACTTGGGTTTAACGTGGGGTCGTGTGGCGTTAGCGGCAGAGTGCGCGACTCGGAACCCAGAGGTCCCAAGTTCGAGTCCTGACATGCCACCGATCTTATGCCCTTGGGAAAGGCACTTTACACGGCTTTCCTCACTTAGCTCAGGTGTAAATGAGTGTTGTATTTGTCCCCTGTGTTGGTGGCGGCATTAATATAAGTTGCAAAAACTTGAGTGTGTCGTCACCTCGTCTGGTGATTACATGTTGGAAAAAAACATGGGTTTGCTACACATAGATTTAGACACCACCCCTACTGAATCCATTAATACTGACAGTACTGATACTACTCCAGTTCATTAGGCGAATCCCTTTTAATTCCTTCCCAATCGAGGGGACTAATAACAGATCGTGTGCCAAACCACCTCCGACCTTCACCCAACCGGTACGCAACCAAAACACAGAAGAGCATTATTAAGCAGTGTTGGTGTCGATGACCGAGAGACGAGCCCGTATTTTGCACACGGCACGACCGGCAGCCAGACAAGCATAGAACGGTAGAATCTCAGTCTATGCAGACAGTAAAATTCTGTTTTTGATCCGTTCATGCATGAAAAGGTCCCGGGGTCAACACGCTCTGCCTGAGGCCTGTCGGCAACTTTCTGGCTGGCTGACAGAGTTGTATTTGAAGCAGGGAAATGTTAGAATGGAACAATTTAAGACATATTGAACTTTCAATGGATATTTGATCACGTTTTAACAATACTTTTCGGTACCTGAACCTAAAAACAGAAAGATGGTAAATGATCGTAAATGTTTAGACTTTTCACCGCATCATGAACAGCGAACACAAGCTCTACTTCGCAGAACATCGCACACACATAGCTGGTCCGGAATGCGGCGTGAGGAGGGTTAGAAAAGACGGGGTCTGATCAAGCCGTGAGCCACCCACATACGTCAAAGTGACTCTTTCCAAAGTGGCCTTGGGTGGCGTAGTGGTAGAGCGTTCGACTATGAAGACCCGTTATGGGTTCGATTTCTGGCTGGACGTTATACCATTATCATGAAAGTTCATCTGTGTTGGTACTTATCATAGTAAAACGTTTAACTTCATTCCAACACACACATTATATAGAGACCAAATTTTCAGTAACCACTGTCGCCTTCATCAGGATAATTAATGGACCAATCATTAACTCTCGCGAGTTCGCCGTAAATCTCGCGAGAACGCGTTGTGAAGTGGTTGGTCATTAATCATATTGATGAAGGCGACAAATTTGATCTCTGTATAATGTGTGTGTGGGAATAAAGTTCAACGTTTTACTATGACTTATACCATCCTCACTTCATTTAGGTGTAAACGGGTACACGACTTCAGTTGGGGAATGGACCTATACCATTATTACGTCACAGTTTGTTTACCGCAATGAATACCAGTCAATCGACGTTTATATTGTACAGGGGTGCGTAGCGTGGTGTGTGTTTGTGTAGCGTTAGCCTTAATATAAGGCCTTTATACAGTACTACTTTCGTCTAATGTCACAACTAAATCACCCATGCGGCATGTAATGTTGTGTCCACACAGCTAGACGCAGCAAAAATCAGACAAACCTTACTTTGAAAACTTTGAAATGATCTTTAATCTTTAACTGATCATTCTAGAATGTTCTTTAGAACAGGTAAACAAACTGTGACGTAATAATGGTATAGGTCCATTAAAGGCAGTAGAAGGAGGGGGGCTCCGTTTTTCCAATACCGTGCCTCAGGCGGAGTGGCTTTACCCACAAGGCTAGGCTACAACCGCAAAAGGCTGTGGGACCTTTGCCTAACTCTACTCATCGAGACTCTACCCAACTTGTCCAGATTTACCTAACTCAACTCCAGTGGCAATATGTTCATAGCTGTATCATGGAATTTTACCTAAGCCGAAAAGGCATTCCAACATACACGTGTAGAATGTGTAGAGGCCAGGCAGGAACTGTAGAGGAGAGACCAGCGGTAGAGACACTAGATCTAGCCACAAACTGAACACTGTCACTGCCAGAACTGAACGATTTAAAAACAGTGCAATACCACATATCGTGATACTGAATGAGGACTGAGATTGCTACTTATATATTTTACTGTTCAAAGACTCTTTTATCCTGCCTGTAATTTGTGTGCAATACTGATATTTTAAATGAACGACCTTTTAACGTATCTTATATCAATAATTAATGACGTATAATGATTTTAATGTGTGCTAACTTTTTATTAATCAATCAATTATGTAATTGTCAGAGCAATTCAGGTCCCAATTACATGGAGCCTGCCATTCTGTACAAGTGACAAATGCCTGACGAATAAACCATTATTATTATTATTATTATTATTATTATTATTATTATTATTATTATTATTATTATTATTATTATTATTATTATTATTATTATTATTATTATTATTATTATTATTATTATTATTATTATTATTATTATTATTATTATTATTATTATAGTGCACCATGTATAAGTTTGGTATAAGGTGTCCCCCTTCAGAAATCTAGGGAACAGCTACAATACATCCGCCCTGTTGTTGATGATAATGATAACTTTATTGCGCAACAATTGTGCATGGTACAAAGTATGGCATCTACTAACTTAAGTAAGTGCATATCAACGACATTTTCATAAGGCTAATCTAATACAAAAGTGGGTGGCTAGTATGAGATAGGTATCAACTTACACAATCGTTGGAGTAGTTTCTAATATCCATACAGTCTTTAATATATATATCCCTATGTATAGCATGTAGGGGTTGATGTATAACTTAAATTCAGAGAACCAGATAAGTCAAGGGACAAAAGTGGAAACTAAAGCCACTGTATCAGTCATCTGACAATTTCTGTCCAAATTAAGATGAATTCCAATTGGCATTTCTACCCATCCATTATCAAAATATGTTCATATAGAAATATCAGACTCACCTTTCATGATTGTTTTTAATTATCTTCAGGTAATTCTTGTCCACGTAACCAGGCGTAATCCAACGGAAAGGGGGTCCATACTTCACCCATAATCCAGGCATGGATTGTCGCACAGATTACATGGCGACTTTCTAAGGGTCTTCTGTATTAAACTCTCCATAGAAAACACTACAGACTCTAAAAACGGACGATGTTAAAAGAATAAACATGGCGACAAAACGAACATGTAGGAAAACCTTGGGAAACCGGTTTCACTTCGGGTGAGTCATACACCTACACGACATGTACAGGAACACGTACATGGACGCCCCCTTACGGTCCTTTCTGATAGTGCAGGTAATAGTGGAGGAATACAGTAGCAGACAGAGTTAGCTATCTGCCACTGTTTGTCTATTGGCGTCCAGTATTGTTGTCATATTTTCCATGTAGGAATTGCGCGGGGTTGGGGTTGGGTGGGGGTCTGGACACGTCTTTGTCCTATCCCAAATGGGTCTCGGGCAAAAGCACCACATATTTGATTCTCACCATGTTGGAAGGGCGACTGGCACTTCCGGGCCAGAATCATGAAAATAAAACAGATGGAAAAAACCAAACTAATTTTAGTAACTCCACGTGCCGGTCGACGTCGAACTCCCTCATGTTAATGGCAAATCATTGGCTTAAGAGTGTTTTTTGGTTGTCCTTTGCATGTTTCTACCAAAGATTTTGTCAGTTTTGTGTAGGACATGTATGTTACCTATTTATGTTCGTGAATGGTGTTCAGCACCAAGGTCATGTATGTTACCTGTTAGTGGATGGTGTTCAGCACCAAGGACATGTATGTTACCTGTTAGTGGATGGTGTTCAGTACCAAGGACATGTATGTTACCTGTTAGTGTTAGTGGATGGTGTTCAGTACCAAGGACATGTATGTTACCTGTTAGTGTAAGTGGATGGTGTTCAGTACCAAGGACATGTATGTTACCTGTTAGTGTTAGTGGATGGTGTTCAGTACCAAGGACATGTATGTTACCTGTTAGTGTAAGTGGATGGTGTTCAGTACCAAGGACATG